GCTTTTGACAGTTGCCCGTTTTCTGCCTTTTCATGCGTCCAGCGGGCCAAGACAGCCCACGAGGCTCCAGAACTCGGCCCAAGACGGTACAGTCGGGTCGCTGAAGAAGGAACCCTTTTCGTTGGGAATGGGCTCCGTGTTCCTTGAGTGTTTCACAGCTTGCCTCAGGTTTTCCTTATATTTTCGATGGGAAATCGAAGTTCAACTTATGGAAAAAGGGACCTCGTTCCTTATTTAGGGTTCCTTAGGTCAACGCCCCGACTGTACAGGGGGGTCCAGAAAAGAGGGCCCCAACACTGTCTAAGAGAGCCCAAAGACCTCCCAAGGGCGCCCCAAGACGGCCCAACTAGACGGCCCCAAGAAGGCCCCAAAGGTCCCACATGGCATCAAGAGAGCGCCAAGAGGGCTTCAAGAGCTCAAACAGCCAAAGCTCCGCCAGACGCCCCGACGGGGTCCCAGGACGGCCCGACAGGGCCCGAAGTGGCCCGAAGGGGCCACAAGTGGACACCCATAAGGCCTGGAGACTCTACGCGCATAGGTGCTCGCCAAATTCATACATGGTGGACAACAGATTTCCCTTGCCTTCCAGGGCGCCGCCCACCTCGATGGCGTTCTGTCAAATTCAAGTATGCTGGGTTTTCGTCAAAGGAGATATTTCGACGTGGAGACGTGCACGGTACTCGAGCGGGAGATCTTTGCTGGGTGTTCCATTTGATTGGGTTTCTGTTCAAGCCCAGATTTCGATATCTATCAGCTCTGACAGAGTTTGGCTTCCGTGCGCCACCATGTGCTTGTCTTCCAAAACCACAGCGGTTTGTTTGTGAGCGCGGCGGGCCACGCACAGAAGGTAGTAGATTGTCTTTGATGCGCTTTGTCCCAAAGTTTCGAGCCCGTGTCTCTCCAAAGTGCAGTTGCACTGCTGTGCATATTCACCACCGCACTCTGGGAGAAGTTGCGGCGGGGCAGGCAGCCAGGGCCTTGGGTCACGACAGGCCCCACCCTGAACATTGTGTTCCGCTAAAGGGTTGGCGCTGGCCGGAAATCGGCCGACGTCGACCGCATCGGGCATGCTCTCTTGGCGCATCTGGGGGGGCCCTGGCCCCCTGCGGCCCCTGCTCCCCACGCCGGCAGTGTCGGGCATGCACTTCCTCGCACGCGTGCTCGGCTGCATTCGCCCCCCCCCCCGATGGCCAAGTGGCGCGTTTCAGATCTTGGCATCGCTCGGACGTGTGCATTTTTTCCTTCGGCGAGGAGCATCGAGGAGCCTCCTTGATCATTTGGCGAAAAACCACGCACGAAACCGAACAAAGCACAGGGAATAGACGTCCGAGCGATGGCCAGACATGAGTTTTGAAGAGATGGCAGCTTCATTGGGTTCAGGGTTTCCAGACCCGGCCAAGTAGATAGAGGTGTGCAGTGGTCGAGTCGAAGTGCGTTCGCCTCGATGCTGCAGGGTGGCCGACTTGGTTGTTGCTCGCGCGAATCACACGCAAGAAAGGCTGCGGGCCCGACATGTGCCAGCCGCCGCGGCACATGGTTTCCAGTGTGAGGGCGTAAGTCACTGTTTCAGTCACCGTTTAAGCAGAGTGCATGAGTGTACGTAACGTGGTCGCAGTTTTGCGAGGAGGGCGTCCCTCGATCGCGTGGCGCTTACTGACCGCAGGGGCAGCTGCTGGGGCCATCAAGGCTGGAACTGCCGCAATCGATCGAACCAGATGTTGCGATTTGGACCACGATCCCGTTCAGGCTATAGTCCAAGAGTGTGGCCGCGCCCATCCAAAACTGTGGCTTCGCTGAGATGGTCACAACAACGTGGTCCCACTGATTGACATTCCCGCTCTCCCTCCTTTTCCTCCGCAACACGCCAGTCGTTGAACATAGCTATTTTGGAACGTCTGGATCCCAATCTTCTTCGAGCGCCTTCCTAATTCAAGAATCGCCATGTTTTGTCATCCTCTGGGGGGGGCCTGCACCTAATCTACACGACCCGCCTTCCTACTTCCTGCTTCTACCTGCCTTCGACCAGCCGTAAGAGTGACCTTCCGCTGGAGTAACCTATGGTGCGGGCACAGATGGGTCCTCAGATGGCTGAAACCGATGCGGCAGCAGCGGCCTGCGCGCCCAGGTCTGGCCCCCCCGCGGCCCCCAAAAAGCCGCGCACCAAAGGTCACTCTTACCCCGGGTCACCCTTGCGTGTAGCCGGTACTTCTCCCGACCGACGTGTCCCCTCTTCCTTCGATGCTCGTTTTGGGGACCTACCTGGAGCCCACCTAACGGATCGGTTCGACCCCAGTTCGACTCAGGTTCGACTCAAGTTCGACTCAGGTTCGACTCAGGTTCGACTCAGGTTCGACACAGGTTCGACTCAGGGCCGACCCAAATCGACTGACGTTCGACGCAGCTTCGACGCACGAGTGGAGCGAGTGGCTCCAAGAAGGTCCCCAGAACGAGCATCCAATCTTCTGCGGAGTAGGTCCGGCCACTAATTCGGGGCTTCACAAATATTTGTCAGTGCACAAAAATAGGTTTTGTGTGTTCAGATTACCTTGCTCTTCACATTTACAACTTGAGTTTTCAGACCTGGTTAGTTTTGTGATACAAGAGCTTAACACAGAAACGATGCCTATTTTTAATTTTTTGAACAACTTTAACCCCCGGGGCGCGCGCCCGCCCGAGGCGGAGGCCGCGCGGCCCAGCGGCGGGCCACCGCCCTCCCGTCGCCGCGCCGCGGGGAGGGCTCTGCGGCGATCTCCTCGCTTCGCCTGCGGAGGGCGATCGATTGAGAGGAAGCATGTCGGGGGCGGAAAAGAGGGGGGTGATGACTTATGGAGGATGACGATTAACAAATGACCGGGGGTCGTGTTCACGCGGCGGCGCCCGGGATGACGATTAGAGAAAACCGGTCCTGGGCTGGGAAACTATTTTTTTAATCGTCCCCCCCCCCCCCCCGCCGTCCTCGGGCGCGCGCCCCCCCCACGGTGGAAGTTTCGCAGAGGCGGGCCTTTGTGACGACCACACAGGCGAGCTCTGCTTCTGAGCGTTCCCCCCCGGTGTGGTAAACTATTTTTTTAATCGTTCCCCCCTCCTTTTTTTCTGAATCGTCATCCCACATTCGGGGGGGTGGATATCATGGCGTGGGCCATGATATTTCCCTGGATTGCATGGCGCCTTTTCTTATTCCATTACGTCCCTGGCCCCCCCGCTGGGCCGCGCACATGCCGCCGGTCATGATTTGCACCCCCCCCTCTTGGACACCCCCCTCTTGGCCGCTCCCGAGCATGTTGCCAAGTAATTTCCAGATGTCAAAGCATGTGGTAAACATGTTTTACCATGTGATAAACATGGTTTAAGCATGTTCAGGGCATTTTTCTTACATCGTAAACACATTTTGCAATCCAATCATTGGACTGGGAGGGTGTCCATCGTCATGGCATCCACAACTCTTCGCCCTCCGCCTCCCCACTTTCTCAGGGAAGCGCAGGACTCGGGTGCGCCGACACTCGATTTCGCCTGTGCTGTTTGACGAGCCCACCCTGGGCTTTGGCGGTCCAGGCTTCGTGGGGCGTCAGCAGCGGGAGCCCGCATCAGAATTTCAGGCAGACTGGGTCGCGCTATTTTCATGACGGCCCCCTCGGGCCGACCCGAGTCGGCCCAACCCGAGTCTGACGTCTCGCCGACATTAGTTCTGCTGCTGCCATCTCGTCTTGCCAGCCGTGTCGTTGATAGTCGCAGGTACGTGTTCGGCTATGGTGTATCCATGGACGCTCTTGCGCATCAGTATCGTGGTTCGTGTTGTTGCAACTGCTAGCTGCGGGTGATCACGCAGTGCGTTGCAGTCTTGTGTCTCCGTGTTGGCGTCGACTGCAGCTGTTCATCCAAAGTGTTTGGGGCTCCTCATGTGCCTGGTCCTCACCATACCCTTCCCGTTCACAAGTACGTGATCTGAATACTACTCTCCTCTCTCCCCTGAAGGTGGCCGGGAGTAGCCCGCCCGCCCATGCGCACGGTTTTTGACACAGTATTTCACGAGTCGGTCCTTCCGACGCGTTTAATTATCATTCGGTCGTCCTCGGCCCGTCAAATGGCGGTGCCGCTGCAGCTTGGGCCTCATCTTAGGATCGGCGCTTTGCTCCCGTCGTGCAGACTGGCACTCTCGCCCCAGCGCGGGCCTCTTCTCTTGACCTGAGTCTTTCCTCATCTCGGCGGCGAGCGAGGGGGGGAAGCGAGAAGGGGCGGGCCTTCTCAGAAGGCTCGGAAGTCCCCCGGCCTTCTGAGGATTTGTTTCAGATTTCACCCGAAGACCGAAAACTTTTCAGAAGACCGGAGCGCTTCTGAGAAGCCCCGCCGCCTTCCGAGAAGGCCTTCTCCTTCTCATTTCCCCCCCCCCCTGGCTCGCCGCCGATCATCGGTGTCACCCCGAGCCTTCCCCCCTTCTTATTCTGATCCTCCTGCTCCTCCCGCTCTTTCTGCTCCAGCTCCTGCTGCTTTTCGTTTTTGTCCTCCTTCTTCCTCATCCTCCCCCTCTCGTCCCTGTCAACCTCTTCCTTCGTTTTCGTCTTCGTCATCCCCTCCTCCTCTTCGTCATCGTGTTCTCCTTCGTCTTCGTTATTCCCTCCTCCTCCTCCTTCCTCATCCCCCCTCCTTCGTTTTCGTCCTCCTCTTCATCGTCCGCCACTCCTTTCCCAACGTTCGCAGCTCCCCATTTCCGATGGTGCATACGACGAATCGGGCCGTTTTTGAGTTCCAGGTCTGTTGAGACTCTTGTCCGCGGGTACTGAAACAACAACGCCCCGGGAAGAGATGGATGGACGCGGTAGGATGTCGGATGTGGCGCGAGCGCGCCTTGTTTGCCCCCATCTCATCTTCGCCTCACTTTCGATCCTCTTAGACAGCTCTTCCTCGCCTTTTTTTGCCTCCACGCAGTGCGCTGGCTACTTGCTCTTGCCTGCCACAGTTGGCTCGTCAGCGGCCAGTCCCACGCCGCCCGCGATGTCCGCGCGATGGCCATGCTGTGCTTGCGGAGCGGGTCGCTGAAGGAGGAGGAGCTGCTGAAGGTGGGTTATGCCAAGGCGTAGGCAGACATGCGTGAGATGTGTACAAGCATGTGTTTGGGTATATGAGACTAGGCGTAGTTACGCAGATCGTTATGTAACATACCTATACACATACATACAGAGCTGGCGCAGCGCACGCCTAAACAAAAGCTGACGCTCCTGAGGAGCTCCAAGGGGTCCTTAGGTGTCAAGATGACGTTGACCTCCCGGGGGCATCCTCGGGAGACTCCGTGGCCAGACGGAGCCGCCGTCTAGGGACAGTCTTGAGACCTCTTGGCCTCTTGGAGACGTGATGGAGGCGATACTGAACCATTTTGGGCAATGGTACCGTCTTGGAGGCTGGCTTGTCATCTGGAGCCATCGTGGAACGATCTTTGGCCATGTTGGGCCCTCCTGAGCATCGCCACACACACACACACTCCAGACCGAGAGAGTGGGGATAGGGGGAGAGGTCAACGTCTCCTCGAATGGGAAGAAGGAGGCAGGAATCGCTAGCTCGCTAAGACAACTACAGTCAGAGGGCTGGTGGTACTTATCTAGCTCTTCGAAGTTATGGCCTCACATGGCCTACCTCTCCCAGCCCTTCCGTCGATTCCTGCTATCATTACTCATCTCGCGATCTAGCCATTTCCGTGTCGACACAACCACGGCGGAACTATCTAGGTAACGCCGACCAGCCATTAGTTAGCCGTCCCCATGTCACGTGGCCGCACACCTGTCGTTTCACCTACCGGTCGATATGTAGAGCTACCCGCCGACATTTCGACCTACCTCTTGAAGCTCCTGTCAGCTCTTGCCCTACCTACTTCAACGTTTCCTCAATCTGCATTCGCTTGACAGATTAGGCTGGCGCGTGAGATCGGTCAACGTATCGCCCGTCAAAACCCGGCAGTGTAATGCAATGCAGAATCACATGCCTCATAGATACAGAAAGATGTTGCATCGCACCGCTCTCAAACATAGTGCACCAGGTCACACGGCGCCACAACATTTTGCATGTTGGAATGTCTTCGTTTTTCGCGCGCGTGGCTGCTTGCATACCAGCGCAAATAGGAAGTTATATCACAAGCATGCTAGACCCCACCGTTCCAAGCAGCCAGACTGCCCCCAGGACACTCAAGAAGGGGCGAAGAAGGGAGCGAACGCGCGTACGGGCCCATCAGTTCGCGCACGCGCGCCCATCAGCATGTGAGAAATATCAAAACCGGCGGTGTTGCCTCGTGCCAGCTCAGGGCGTGGTGCAGAGCTCGCGGCGCCGGCCGCGGGGAGCCGTGCCGGAGGAGGACATACCTTTGAGGCGGCGCTCTCAGGCGAGCCCCTTCCGCTGCGGCCCAGAGAGGTGTCGCTCGCTCTGGCACGCCTTCGGGCGACGTTTTCTCAGATTGGGGACCTCTCAGGTTGATGGCACCTCTTCTACCACCTGATTTTCGAGACTGGTCCAGTTGAGTTGCTGGCGTTGGGTCTCGACAGGTCTGTCACGTGGTTCAGACATTCAGTCGAGGTCGGTTAGCAGGTAAACCCTGCTAAATCAAGGGTACCATCGTGTCCTGTGTTTCGCGACCCATGCCTTCTACATTCCTATGGCAATGTGGCCCTCGGAAGGGTCTTGTGTCCTCTCGCGTGGCCTCTCCAACCAATCTGCTTGTAAACCATGCACATGCGAGCCTTCTCTCAGCAGGTAACGAAAGATGATGGATAAGCAGTTGCAGAGAAGCATGCATAGATGAGGGTCCATTGCAAGAGTGATCGCGTTCGCAAGCGCCCCACCTCGCGCCTCTCGACTTGGAGGGCGAGCCATTCTGAACTGCATGAGCATTGGCTTTGATTTGGATTCCGCAGCAGGCCCCCCAGGGCGCACAGATTCGGCGACATGGGGGCTCGGGGGTATTTGGTGCGTCTTTGCCGCTGTACGTTGGACAGCTCTAGCGGTGCTGGTGGGCTCTGTCACAGATAACGATGGCCTGGGTGAGATTGGGAGGGGTTGTGGATTGTTTCCCGCAGGCCTCTCATGTTGGCTGAGCAGGTTTGCTTTGGAATTCAGTAACTCGCAATCACTCGCCCCACTGCAGTTCGACGACTGCCTCCCTCACAGCCTTGAAGAGTCGACAATTGCGGTAGATGCCCAGACTGATTCTAGCGTGCCTACATCGTTGGTACCTGCCACTACTCGCGAATAGCCCTGGTGTGCCAACAATGCCTCTAGTTAAAGGTAGCCCCGACGAGCCCACAATGTTGGCCTAATTGTGCCAACAATGCCAGCAGTGCCAACAATGAAGTTCCGATTAGCTTCAGCAGCACCATCGCCAATATCAGAGATATGCGCAGGTGTGGTTGGGACCGTTTGAGCCTCCCGCTCCTCCCGAGATCCTGGACGGCCTCTGTGGGCAGAGGGTGATCGATCCAAAATGGAACATTTCAGAATTCACCGCTTCGAAACGACGTGGCCTTAACACTGGCCGCTACATCATCGCCCTCTCGCGGAGCCCGGCACACCATGGCCTTGACATGAGGGGGCGCCGATAGGGGAGACTGGCTCGGAGAGGGGGGGGGGGGGAACTTTGAGACGAAGTCGGCGATATATCTTCTATAGATCGGAGATGGGGCGCCCCGGTAGCAAGACCGCGCGCTCTGGGCAGGGCGGGGTACCTGGTCGACGTTCCCCCTTCCTGGGCGCCCCCCCCAGTAGCAAATCCGCCTTCCGCGTCGACTGGCTTCGATTAGCGTCTGGGAGTCGATGAGATAGCGTCGGCCAGCGTCGGTTAGCGTCGCTTTAGCGCCGATGAGCGACGATTCGCGTCGATCAGCGTCGATCCGCAATATCCGAGAAGATGGTATGGGAGGTTCTCAGGAGTTGCCGCCGAACGTTTCACGAACTGTTTCTTTCAGACGCCTTCACGTTGAGGCACACGTGTATGTGTTTCTTGGCTCCCCCCCGAATCCACCACCCCATGCGCACTTGCACCCACACTTTTTGTCGGCAGGCCCTGGCGAGTCGGGTGAAAACCCAGCACTTCCAAAGCTTGCCTCTACCCTCTAGAACGTGCGGTGTTGTTCAGCCGCTCTGTCCGAGCAAGCACACGCGAAGTGCATGTTGATCGAACCTGGCGCGCCTGGCTTTGGTTGTAGCATTCCCCGCTTGCAAACATCTCGCATCGCAGCCGCCCCAACAAATCTCATGGTTGCCGCGCTGCCGCCGCGTCTGTCACACACCCGCTGGCCGCTGGCTCCGCTCCGATGCTTCACAGCCTCACTTACACATCGCTTGCAGCCTACTTGAGTTACCGGGGGTCGACCTAAACGGTGTTTTAGCGATTTCGTGAGCCGTCTTCGTTTCGTTTTCGTTTTTGCAGCAAAGGCGAATCGGCGACAAAACGAGGGAAAACGAAAACAAAACGAGAACGACAAATATTGGTTAGTCCGATCCCTGTGAGTTGTGTCAGTGACGTGCCGCACTTGCTAGCACTTCCTGTGCGTCTCCAGTGCGACCCCTCGCCTCCTGCATCTCTTGAGCCCTTGGCCCCCAGGCGCAGACAGTGGAGCAAGATGTGGCTCCTGATAGGTCGCCTCACAGTGGAAAGGGTTCGGCCAGGTGAGGCACCACAGTTTGAACGGTAACAAAGAGACGGGGATCGACGAACAACAGTCTGTATAAACATATGCTTTCGGCGCTCCGAGCCGATTTCTTGGATCGGCGCCTAGGCCCTCCTGGCGGCGCCATCGGCGCCCTCCCTGGCGCGCTCCGCGCGCCAGGGAGGGGGTCCAGCGCAGATCTAAGAAATCCGCGTGGACCGTCGAAAGGTTGAGATTATGCGGTTGTTGGTTCTTCTAGGGGATGACAACGCACCCAGGGCAGGTCTCAGACACGCCTGAGAATGCCCGCCGCACGCGCCAAATTTCTAGAGCTTCCACATGGGTCCCGCCGCAGGCGCCGGTTCTGTTGTGTTCAAAACAGCGTGGGTGGTTCGCGGGTGGGTCGCGAATGGGTCTTGGGTGGGTCGCGGGCGGATCGCGGGTGGATCTCGGGTTGGTCGCGGACGGGTCGCGGGTTGATCGTAGGCGGGTCGCGGACGGGTCGCGGATGGGTCGCGGGCGGACAGCGCGAAAGGACGACGACAACAACACACCAACAACAAGAGTTCACACCGCTGAAACCCACTTGATCCACGCACCCAGGGACAGTGTAAGACCGTTCGGCCCCCTCATTCTGACAATCAGATGTTTTGGAATTCTGGCTGTCCAAATCCAGAGCATGTTCCAGATGCCACCCTGCACAAATGAGAGACCGCGCCAAGGGGGACTGAGCAAAAGGGGCGGGCCACACCTAAGTCCCTCTTTGTTTTGGCGGGGGGTGGCACGTCAGTGTGGAAGCCCACTTCTGTTTTTTTTCTGTCCCCCACCATCCTGTGGTGTTGGGTCCTCGTTTTGAAGAGACAGCGCCCCGCGTCCCTCCCTCCCTCCCTCCCGCCTCCTCCTCCTCCTCCTCCTCCTGCTCCTCCTCCTCCTCCTCCCGCCTCCCCCTCCTCCCTTCTCCCAGTCCTTGCCCCTGTCTTCAGAATGTCTCTGTTTCGGTACACCCCTCACACGCTTCGTGGCTCCATAGGGAGCCCCACCTAAGGCCCCAACGGCGCAATTCGCATGGCGCCGCCGCCCCATTTTGGCACACCCTTCGCACGTTTCGTGACCCCAGAGGGAGCTCCATAGAAGGTCCCAGTGGCGCAGTTCGCATGGCGCCACCGCCCCATTTGGGCACACCCCTCACACGTTTCGTGGCCCCATAGGAAACCCCACCTAAGGTCCCAGTGGCGCAGTTCGCATGGCGCCGCAGCCCCAATTTGGCACACCCCTCACACGTTTCATGGCCACATAGGGAGCTTCACCTAAGGACGCAGTGGCGCAGTTCGCATGGCCCCGCCGCCCAATTTTGGCACATCCTTCTCACGCTTCGTGGCCCCACAGGGAGCTCCACCTACGGTCCCAATGGCGCAGTTCGCATGGCGCTGCCGCCCCAGTCTGGCACACCCCACGCACGTTTCGTGGTCCCATACGGAACCCCACCTAAGATCCCAGTGGCGCAGTTCGCATGGATCGGCCGCTCCATTTTGGCGCACACACACACACACACCTTACACGTTTCGTGACCCCAGAGGGAGCTCCACCTCAGGTCCCAGTAGCACAGTTTGCATAGCGCCGCCGCCCCATTTTGGAACCTTTCACGCTTCTTGGCCCCATAGGGAGGTTCACCTAACGTCGCAGTGGCGCAGTTCGCATGGCGCCACCGCCTTGTGGCCCCACAGGGAGCTCCACCTAAGGTCCTAAGGTCCCAGTGGCGCAGTTCGCATGGAACCGCCGCCCCGTTTTGGCACACCCCTCACACGCTTCATGGCCCCATAGTGAGCTCCACGCAAGCTCCCAGTGGCGCAGTTCGTATGGCGCCGCCGCTCCATTGTGGCACACCCCTCACACGCTTCGTGACCCCAAAGGGAAATCCACTGATGGTCCCAGTGGCGCAGTTCGCATGGCGCCACCGCCCCATTTGGGCACACCCTTCACACGTTTCGTGACCCCACAGGGAGCTCCACCTAAGGTCCCAGTGGCGCAGTTCGCATGGCGCCGCCGCCCTGAGCCGTCGGATGTCCGGCGCGCTGCTCCCTCGGCCGACATCGCCCAGGCGTGATCCTGGATTGCGGCCGCCACGAGGTGGGGAACGGCAAGAAGGAGGACGACGACTGGTGGCTGGAGCTCTACGCGCTGCTCTCGCCGCCACGCGTCGCGAGGACCTCTTGCTGCGGGCGCCGCGCATCGAGTTCTTCCTGGACGGGCCGCCGGAGGGCTTGCGAACAGACTGCCACGCGCACGAAACCGTGCAGGAGGGAGGCGGCGGCCTTCGCCAGGGAGCAGAGCTTCGCCGAGTTTATCCGCAAGGCTTGACTAGAGGGGCCCCGCCCGAGCCTCGCCGTCTCTCGACGGTCTGACTGTTTGGCCTCGCGCCGCGGGCGACCCGCGCGCGTCGCTGGGGCCCTCTCGGGGCGACCTGCGCGCGTCGCGGGAATTCTGCGCTGCGCTCTGCCCACAGCCTCGTTCGCCCCCGCCGTCGCTCTGCCCAGCGGCCACAGCCTTGCCCGCTATCAGCTGGCCAGCGAGCTGTCTCTGCTCCGCGCGCCGGACGACCCGCGCGCGTCGCCGGGACCCCTCTAGGGCGACCGACGCGCGTCGCGGGGACTCCGCGCGGCGCCGCGCCCGCAGCTTTGGACACGGGCGCGCACGGGCAAAGACGGGGAAAAATAACGAGAAGGAAGCGGACGCGACCCTCGTGAGGAGCGCGCCGACATGGGCGTCGCGGCGCGCGGGCGCTGCTGTCGGGGTTCCAGTGGATGTTTCCTGCGGCGGCCACGTTCACTGTCACGAGTATTCCGGGCCAGGCACACATGGACCATTCATATATATATATATATATATATATATATATTATATATATATATATATATATATATATATACACACACAAAAAAGCGCGGCCATGCCCGCACTCATGCAAGTATATTCGCTCGCACGCAGACTCATTCGCACTCCGATTCACTCGCGTTCAGCCTCACCCGCGCTCCGTCTCTCGTTGTTCGACCTGTCGTCTTCGTTCGCGTTGTGTACCCCGCCGCGCAATCCGGCGCACCTCTCATACGGTTCGTGGCCCCATAGGGAGCGCCCCGAACAAGATATTCATAATTGCGGTATTCACAATTGCATATGGTTGGGTCTTTCGCCAGGCTGATTTGCCTTGCCCCATCTTTCCTTCCATCCGATCCACCTCCGAAGCCCTCCCTGCCCACCACGAGCCCCCCCCTTCTCGAGTTGCCACACCGCCCCCATACTCCCAAGACCCTATCCCCTTTTCCGCCCCCTCCGCATCGCCCCCTTCTCCCCCGTCCGGCGTCCGGGAGCTGCGAAGCTACAAGGCTACGTTCCCTTTCCAATTTTTCCTAACCATCCTGTGATGTTGGGTCCTCGTTTTTACCTAACAGCGAAGACTGATAGGTTTCTAGTGGTGTCACAAGAGAGCATCTGATGACTCAGAAGGGAGGTCTGGGCGGCATCTGGACAGCGAGGGCCGGGCTCAGGGCCGGGTTCGTTTTAATTAACAGTCGCACACTTCGTGCTCTTCGACCCCCCAGAACTCCATTCCCGGACCACATTTTGAATGCCCGAAGCCAACTGTAGGCCACTTCGTGCTCTACGACCTCCCAGAACTCCATTCCCGGGCCACATTTTGGATGCTCGGAGCCAAGTGTAGGCCACTGCGTGCTCTTCGACTTCCCAGAATTCCACTCCCGGGCCACATGTTGGATGTTCGGAACCAACTGTAGGCCACTTCGTGCTCTTCGACTTCCCAAATCTCCATTCCCGGGCGACATTTTGGATGCTCGGAGCCAACTGTAGGCCACTTCGTGCTCTTCGACTTCCCAGAACTCCATTCCCGGGTTGCATTTTGAATGCCTGGAGCCAACAGTAAGCCATTTCGTGTTCTTCGGGCCACATTTTGCTTATTGGATGTCCCCGTCATATTTCTCGCCGCCCGATTGCCGGTTTGTTCTGTTCGTCATCGTGCAGGGCAAGACGGCGGACCCAGGCGTCATCGTGCACTGGACGTTTCCGCCAGAATGTAATACTTGTAGTAGCAGTAGTAGGGGAGCAGGAGGAGCAGGAGGAGCAGGACGAAGGAGGCTCCTTACTCTTTCCTCCCTCCCCTTTCTCCCTTCATTTCTGTACTGGGTACCCGACCCTTTATGACGTCCTCCGCATGCGTGGGTGGTCCACTCGGGCCGCGGGGGAGGATAGGGGGAGTTGGGGTCTTCTTCTTTCCGTAAACAGCTTGATCCTCGTCGCCAGTACTGAGGAGGGGGGGGTGCACCGTTCCCTCGGATGGGCACACCCCCCCTCCGGGAGGTCTCGATCCCATCTCTCTCTTTATATTTCTCTCTCTCTTTTTTTTTTTTTTCTCTCTCTCTCTCTCTCCTTCTTTCTTTCCCTCCTCGAAGCAGCACTTTCAATACCGTCATCCTAACGGCGAAGACTGATAGGTTTCTAGTGGTGTCAAAAGAGAACATCTGATGACTCAGAAGGGAGGTCTGTGCGCCATTTCGTGCTTTTCCACTTCCCAGACTTCCAAGACTCATTATCTTCATCATCATCATCATCGTCCCCGTAGCCTTCTTGGCTACAGCCCTGCTTTCGAAGATTTCCTTTCAAAGGAACTGCGCTGCGCCTACTGCACACCTTAATGCCAGGACATGCTGATAGTTTTCGGTCTGGCGGCAGTGCTCCTGACCCTGCTGCATTGAACAGCGGTGCTCCTCAGCCTGCGGCAGGGAACAGCGCTGCTCCTCAGCGTGCTGCATTGAGCGGTCCTCTGCAAACGCTCGTCGAGCACGTGAAACAGTTTGGCCGGATACCGAAACGAAATAAAGGAACGTCCGAACAAGAACGGGCCGAAAACAAGTGGGCCAACTACTGGCAGTGCCACTGCGACTGCCGCTGATGTTGCCACTGCGACTGCCACTGCGAATC